CGGTCTTCTCAGCAGAGTTTCGCTTCTGATGTACTGGTCAATTGCTTTCTCCGTTGTTTTGAGGAGGAAGGAGGTCGTCGACCAGTTTTTGGTATCAATATAACATCAGCTTTCCTCCAAGATAGCGGAATGTGTCCTAGGACCAAGCTTGCTTTGGAAATTTTTTGTAAGTGTACCTTTAAGTACTCGTAGATCTTTTGCAGTTGTGCGGTCTTTGCCTGGAGATGTGTAAGGTCTGAAAGCAGTCGCCCATTCTATTCTGTTCCTTGTGAAGACTTTCCCTGCCAATCTTTTCTTCTCCCGTTAGGGCTTTGAGACCCTGAGATGAGCGGATTGACCTGGTTCAGGGCGTCTACGATTACTGACCCTATATGGACGGTACCAGTAGTGTTCTCCGGTTGGCTTTTTTAGCAGACCAATTCCGTGAGTGGTTTTTTGAAAGGACTTTTTGGAGACATTGAGCTGGGGCTGATTCGTCTATCTCCTTGCAGAACTTTCGCCATGATTTCCTTTTTGATTTTCTCAATTGGCGGTTCTACTTGTCTAGGGCTGTTGTGTAATCTGCCTAGTTACCGTTGGTTTTTGACTTATTGGACAGTTTTCTGGCATCTTGTTCCAGACAGCTGCCCGTTCCACCAAGGCACATCTCTGTGGACTGCCTTCTGTCTTACGGGACAACTGTTCTCACAGGAATCTTTTATTGCGTTTATTAGATTGTTAGATGATGCCTCTAGCTCCTCTATTGTGTTTATGTCAGAAGGGAGTTCATCTAGACTCAGGCAGAGACCTTTCACTTAGGATACCCAGTTGGTGAGTTTTGGAATTCTCGTCTCTACTGACTGGTTTATTGCTACCTCTTGGTCGAACCTTATTGCTTGATGGTCTGACAGGGCGGGTTCATTTGGCACAAATCAGTTGGTTATTGTGTTGGATATGAATGTGTCAGCTAGAGTCACGTCTAAGACCTCTTGTCTGATGGTGTTGATAAAAGTGGGTTTGTTACTCTTGTTGATAATGCTTATGTTGTGTCTGCCCCAATAATGTAATGTCCGTTTCTCACTTTGCATAACGTAATGAGTCTTTGAACGGTCTCTGGCGGTGCTGAGTTGTCATCACCTGGAAAGTAGGTTGAGGCTATGAGAATGGAATTTAGCCCAGCTCTCTTGACACTTCTACCGAAGCAGCTGCCAAGTCTTGAGTGATGAACTCTGGAACCGGTGAGAATTTTAAATTTTTGTCGATCAGCAAGGCTGCTGTTGGTCTTTCATGGTTAATTTTGTAGTCTAACTTACAGATTTAATATTTAGGCCTTTTATCGAGCCTCCAGTGACCCAGGGTTCTTGAAGTAGCCTACGATTTTTTGTCCAAACATTCTTCTTCTAAGCTCACTGGTGGCAGCTTTTGAATGTTGGAGATTTATTTCGATGCATTTAATGCTTGGTGGGTTGTTTTTCTTTGGTTGTTTGGGGGAAGCCATTGGAGTTGCACTCACTTTTCGAACCCTGCCTGTCTACAGACGTACCTGCCCTTGGTTCGGCGCAGCTTGTCTTTGAGGAGCTTGGCTGCTTTGTGGCTCTATAGTCGTAAAGCCAAACTTGCAACTGACCATATAGCCTCCGGATTTAAATTTTTCTGCGGATGCACTGTCCACAGAAAAGGTTAATATGACCAGGTGGCCCTCGGGGTTACGTCGGATGACTCGCCAGTTTTTAACGTTTAGGCCCCTCATTTTGGCCTTGAACGAGATTAAGGACTTTCTCTGTGGAGTAATCTATGCTGCTTGGGAATCAAGCAACCAAGACGTCAGAGTGAGGAATGTCAGATTCCTCTATCATCTCTAGGGAGGCTCCTTCCCAAGGCTTGGTGGAGGCGACTGCAATTGGGAGCCACTGCTTGGTGGCTATGTTCTCGCAAACTAGTGCAAGCAAGCCAGGTCTATCGTGGGGGCTCAGAAACATCGGTTTGATGGAGCAACCTGATGCTACCTCGTCCACGATCTTGTCCATGATTGCCTCTTAGGTGGCTTGTATTTGCTCCACTGACACTTTCTTGAGCTTCGGGGGTCGTTTCCTCTGACCGAGCTCTTTTTCCGCCTTTGTCAGAGATTGTAGCCCTTTCTTTGATTGGCTCAAGGGCTTTTTTGCAGGCTTCATTCGCACTCTTCCTTTTTTTTTAGGAGGAATTTTATCTTCTTGGCAGCACTACTCAGCCTGATCCTCACGCCGCCCATTAGCTGTAGGGCACCCAGATCTTTGTCGCATTCGTCGTCGGTTGACCGAAGAAGTTCCTCTTCGGCGTCTGTGGGGCTTTTACAGTCCCTTACTTCCATATTTTCGGATGTGTTTGAGGTGCTATCGTCCTTCGCCCTGATTAGTTTTTGAATGGTATCCATACTAGGTCTCACGATTAGCTAGGAAAGTAAACCAGTGCTAAGGTTTACTCTGACCTAAGTTTCACCTTAACTACGTTTACCTTTTAAGCAGCATAGATAGTTGAACGCATCCTCCAAAACCACTTTGGGGATATTCTGCCGCTTTCCGTCTCAGCAGTCTTAGCAGACTGTGAGGCTCTCAATTCTCCATATTTGTACTGTGATCCATTTTGAAGAGGGAATGACTTCTGATTTTTTCCAGCTTTCTGAAAACTTTCATTCCTTAGCTTAGAGCACAGTTGGAACTGCTTCTTTGGGTATCTTTTCTCTGACCTACAACCTACAACATCTCGCTTGTGATCTTATATTGGGTATTAGAGTTCTTTTGTTGTTTTTGCCATAATTTTGCTCGATCTGAACAATGGGATTATCCAAGCTTCTATCACTTCCTAGGAAGACGAGTGAAAAAATTCCTAGTTGAATACGATGTTTCACCTGAGGATGGCCGGGCAATTCTCCCAATAACGATTAAATTCCTGCCAATAATGACGATCTCGCCCGATAATGACGATGTATGTCCCAGTATTGATTATGTTGCCAACAATGAAATTCAGATTCTTCCTGAACTACAAGAAAACCTATTAGATGCACGGCGTCATATAAAGGCTCTATCTACCCTGTTCATGTAAAGACCGTAGGTACTCTGAAACTTACCTTGAATTATCCCCGAGGACGTAGGGGAATTCCAGTTGAACAGTTGAAAATCCTGACCACTGTTGGTATAATTGCCAGGTGTCTAAAAAAAAGAAGAAATCGGAGTGACGCTCTATAATTATATTAATGATATATCAATAGCATGTGTACTACGTTCTTGCTGCTCATTTTATTACGCTTGGAAATAGAGGCTGATAACAATAATTGGAAAATTCGCTTTTAGCAATTTTACGTCCATGGAGACAAAGCTTAAAGCGTTAAATGACTGGAAACTGACAAAATTTATTGCAAAATTTAGACAAATAATCAAATAACAATAAAATTAGGGAAAAAAAAAAACATGATCACATTCCAGTACAATTGAAAACATTGAACATCTCAATCTAAACCAAAAACCTAATTGACATTCATTTAAAATAATAGCTGGCCAATTAAATTCAAGAATCTGACGGTCAATTTTGATTATCGAATATGTCAAATGAGGTTTAAATAAAAGAAACCTTTATGGACGACTGTGCTGGAGATTGCGAAGGTCCACTGGATCTTTTTTTTATAAAGCGCAGAGGATATCAAGAACATCGTCCTAGTAAGTCAGAAATTTTCCCATAAATTATTAGACAAGCAATTATTGAAAATATCAAATTAAATAAACTGTGGCATTTTCAAATTATTTAAGGAAAATCAGTGAACCATAGTAGAAATAAAATAGCCGTCAACAGACTATAAATCACCCACGTAGTTTATTTTATAGTATTTAAATAAATTAAATAGCGAATAGAATTGCACATTATAATGAAAGTGTATAAAACATGATAGTTTCAAATAATAATTTATTGAAAGATTTATTTATTAATGGAAGAAAAGTCGCGAATTGAATTTGAAAGTTCTATGAAAAAAAAATATAAAAGGTTGTTTTCAAATGGTAGGTAATTGATTACGGATTATAATAGTATTTGAATCGTGACATGTATTTTATAATTTTCGAATAAATTATGTGTTGCATTATTGTACCTGGTGAAGTTGTCATTCACACACGCCAAATTATATTTTCAAAAATCATGTTTTGAAGAAGATTTATGCTCCCAGTTTCTTAAGCAATAAGGAATGCCACCTAGTAAGTCGACATCTAGTAAGTGATAACCCATAGTCATATTAACTAACTAGCAAATTTATAAAATTTGAGTTCGAAAGTACACAATAATTGCAAACAGTTATTTTCAGCAACGCTCATTTTGGAAAGTTTATAATTTTAAATAATATTGTTAACCCCTATTAGTATAATATTCGTGGGAATTATATCGGTCTTGCACAATATGAGATATTGTCCTGTCAGGCCGCAATTTTTTCTTGTCGCATTGACAACCAATTTAGATACAAATAATTGATTAAATTAAAAATTAACTGCAACAACGCGCCGCCTCTTTAATAAAGCACTGAACCGAGTAATTGCAAACCGGTCATAAATCTCAGAATGAACGCTAGATGTATGGAGACTAGAAGGTTAATAAATTGGTTGAGTTTTATCCAAAAAAATCTAGAAAATTGAAATTTGTTAAAGTCTAATTAGGACACATTGAATATACATACTTATTATGTTCTCATAATAAAGCGGCAACTACTTTCAATCTTGAAATACATTACCATATGAATTAGCATTATTCTTGAATAATACATTACAAGGAATAGTTACTCACTGTTGAGTATTGGCGCATATTGTTTACTTCCTGAAGCTTTTATCTATATACAAAACAAAATCCATTAATTTAAAATGCAGCCAAACAACAAGCTAAAGATGCAACAACATATCCAATTACACCATAACAAACAAAATTCCAAATTGTTGCAGTCATAAAATGGCATTTAAAAAGATTAAATTTGAGATTTATTACTTAAGATTTTTATTGATTTTTCCTAGGTACTGGTAGTTTCAGGAGCAACAGTATCATTGGCGTAAACGAGTTCACAGACAACAGGGCGTTATGGAAGATGTTGCTTGCAGAATTTCTGGGAACGCTCCTCTTGGTGGCCGTAGGATGCGGATCTTGCATCAACATGTCTGGATATCTAGACACACCGATCGTACAAATCGCTTTGACTTTTGGACTGATGGTTGCTACTATAGTACAGGTAAGAATTTAAATTTAGTTTCGTGTTTTTATTTTAATTGCACTCGAAGGTGTCGATAATTGTTCAAACCCACTGAAAATCTTGAGGTCGGACTGAACTTCAATCTCAAACTAACACAAACTTCAGCTGGACATCATTCCAAAATTCAATTTGTTAAAAATATATTTTTTCTTGGCCAAACTATTTTCTTGGCCAAGCTAGATAACAAAAAATACCGAAACGCTAGAAAATTAACCATTTTCAATCAACATCTATCCTTCTTCAACATTCAATGGTAAAAAACTCAGAATAAGTACTCGAAATGTTATAATTTCAATTTATTGTACAGAGAAAGGTAGCGGTTAATAATGAGAAATTGATTTGTTCAAGATTATTTCCCCAACATTTCTGATTACATTTGTTCGGCACAATATCTGGAATACAATTGATAATGGTATTTCGAAGCTATCCTATCCAGACGTACAGAGATCGTTACCATTAACTGGGCCCGGATTCCGTCGATTCCGAACTCACGATTCGATAGTATCGTCTATCTATTTTATATGGACGATACTATCGAATCGTGGGTTCGTAATCCGGGCCCTGTTTTCATCAAAAAGCCCATAAAAATATAATCTAGTGGTGTGTGATCTCAAGACCTAGGTGGCCAAAGCCAGCACTCTACAAGAAATGATACGGTCGCCAAATCTATCCCTCGGAAGTTTAATTATTTTATCAAACGTCTGAACTCGTCAAATCTTCAATGTTTTCAATAGAAGTCGCCAATGTTTAAACCCTCCTTTTTAAGAGTGCGCTTCTCGATGCTGAAAAAATAGGTATATCGCGTCCGCGACTATGCTGTTTTAATAAAAATAGTTGCATCTAGGGAATTCTAACAAAAACTGTTTTCAAGAATGTACTTTGTGCTTGCTTGACCAGTATTTTTTTTTTGATTTTTCTCATTTTTTGAAAAAAAAAATTCATAAAATGAGAAATATCAAAAAAAAATTACTGGTCAAACACGCACATAAACATATCCTTGAAAAAAGTTATCGGTTAAAATTTCCTAGATGCAACTGTTTTTATTAAAATAGAAAAGGCGCACTCGCGATTTTCAGCATCGAGAAACGCACTCTTAAATAGGGATGCCGAATATGGGTCGAGTGGTACCGTGTTTTAAAGGTATTGTCACGCCTCTAGGGTGCGTGACAGAAATCTTTAATCCGTTTATTCAAAAATCGAAGTTCACAGCAATAATTTATTCCACGTTACTATACACTCTGACACTAATTACTCCACTAATTAACTCAAACAACTTAACTCCCAGAATAATCACTTTCTCAATCATATCAGAGCCAATCCTGAACTAAAAACTACTACTTAATATCGGCCTTTATATATCCGTATTACATTCTTGTAAAATCCAGAATAAACGCGATAGCCCTTTTTCCCCAATAGCAATGTAAAATCTAGAATCAGCTATCCAATTCTGTACACCCAGATAGTTATACTGAGCCCACAGCGCCTTGTAAATCAAACTCTTGTTCGACACTTCCCTCTATTCTGGCCTACATTCATCATTTTCTTTAGGATGCAGGAGTTGCCCGATGTCCTGGTCTGCTTCTTGATCTGCTCTCATTTGTTTGATAGCCCATTTATCATCAACGATAAGATCCGTTCTTCTCACAGCTGGACCAGTGTTTTTCTCATGCGTATCGATTCTTTGACAATGCTTGCAGTCTTCTTTACATGGCCGTCTAGACAGAGCGTTAGCATTTTTTTGCAGGTTTCCATGTCGATGTTTAATTTGGATATCGTATTGCTGCAATTTCTCAATCCATCTAGCAAGCTATCCTTCGGGAGTTTTCACTTCTAAAAGCCATTTTAGAGCTGCGTGATCCTCTCGAATTAAAGACTTACGTCCGTAGAAATACTTATGGAAATGGTCGACTGCTTTTACTATGGCGAGCAACTCTCTTCTGGTGACACAATAATTTCGTTCTGGCTTTGATAAGGTTCTAAACACGTCGGTGAAGTCACAAATGGGATAACTTGCTTTCTCTTCGAACATTGAATAATACATTCATTCTTACTCGATATTAAACTGATTCATGATACGAATTATACACGCCCCGTGGAATCCACGGCCTATCAACCAATCAGATGCTCCGTATTTTCGGAATACACGGGCCGCAATGAGACAATACAAGCAAAACATGATTGACGTCTACCATCAGATCACGAAACTTTCGTTTTAAAAAAATTAGGACTTTTGATGATTGTTTTTTCTTTCAAAAAGTTCGAAGGAAAAGTATAGTTTTCTACTTGCAAATATTGGCTATTCGTTGAAGAATATACTATTATATCCTACTGCACTATTATAACCATATGGTTACGATAATCATAAACAGGGTCTTAGCTCCCGCGCGGGAGTTAAGGATTTCATAACTCCCGCTTCTACCTTGAATAGGTAAAACTTTGAGAAAGAATAGAAATTTTGGTTTATGGTTTATTCATTTGAAAAAAATTGACAAAATACAGTAAATTCAGTAGGATATAAAATTATCTATGTACCACGGGAATTATCAGGTGTTATTACCCACGGGCAATTGGTGTCCTTCGAGCCAGAGGCCCTCGGGACACAAACTTTGCCCTGGGGTATTACCACCCTCATAATTCCCTTGACACATACAAGCTATTTATGTACCAAGGGGATTATGTAGATTATAATGCCCGAAGGCGAAACTAGCCGAGGGCCTCTGGCCCGAGGGATATATTTCGCCTGAAGGACATTATAATCTAAAAATCCCTGTGGTGCATACAATGCTTTATTTTCTACTCAACACAATGTTTTTTCATCAGTTTAGTATCAAACAAAATCAGTTAAACTTGTGTGACAAAATATTGTTTTGTATTTTGACATGTACCTGTACCTAGGAACGAAATAAATTATTATATCTATAAACATCTCATAAGGCAAGGCAACGGTGCTCGTGTGGGTTAACGCACTCGACTACATGGGAAACGTTGATGGTGGACCGGGTTCAAATCCTGGCCAGATCGAAGATTATTTTCGGTCGGACATTTAGTGGCTGCATAAGGTAAAGTGCGGGCGTTATAGATCATAACGCCCGCAAAAGAGGGCGTTATAGATCATACCGCCCGCAGGGCTTATAATGCCCTCAGGTTGTTATAGGTATGTTAACATATTCCGTTTCCTAGGTGTTGTAAATCTATAATAGTTAAGTAGAAAATAAAGAACTATTTTGCTGTTACTAGAGAGATATCGTGAACCAGATAGCACGTATGGACGGTATTAACGTCAGGAGTTATTTTTTTTACGTAAAGTGGTAGGTATTATACTTTTAACTTACAGTTATCGGAAAACAGTTTTACGTAAAATTTGCCTATTCGTATCCGTTATTTTATAATCTTAACCCAACTTGTAAAGTCTGTTTTTTTTTTAAGACAATTCCGTAAGTCAAAAATTTAGTAACTATGTTGGCAACACGAGCCTTTTCTACATAAAAAATTTGAAAGCATTGACAATTTTACATTGTATTGCCAACATAATGTCATTTTGACTTTTATCTTAAAAAAAAAACAGATTTTACTTTGTTCGGATTTATCAATGTTGATTCTGTTGTTTATGGTCAGGGTCCCAGGATTTCAATTTTTAAAGCTTTTTCATTATTTTTTGAACATTAGTTTAACATAACATAACCTATAATATTCAACTAGCCCGTTGTCAAAAACCTGCGCATGCCTATTTGAGCATTTTTTAGGCGTTATTCGAAATAGCGCATAACGTAAATGTTGGGTAAATTACGTTATGCGGTAACGTTATTTCAGTACGTAGTGTTAAAGATCGAATCGCGCATACGTTTAATGTCAAAATAACGTTGGCGCTAATACTGCATGACGCTTTTTGGATTACCGATATCTCTCTACTATTACAAAGCCAGTCAACGTTAAAGTCGCCCACAAACACTACTAAATCATGGGAAGGGTAAAAAGTGCTTATACCATCCTCGAGGTCAAGTAGGCAATTATTTAAGTTTTCTAGTGGAGAGCGATACAAGAAACCTAGACATAGGTTCTTCTCATTAACCCGCACACTGACCCACAACTGTTCCAGAGCACCAAAAGTTGACATCGAATCTAATAATCTAAATTTAAATATGTCCTTGATATAAAGCCCAACTCCTCCTCCCCTACTACCCCTGTCCTGCCCAATTGAATGGAAACCAGGGATAGCCAGTGTTGAACTACAAATCGCTTCAGTAAGCCAGGTTTCAGATAAACTAATAATATCGTACTGCTCAGTTTCTATAAATTCTCTAAAAGAATGAGAGTTGGAAATCAAAGACCGCACATGTCAAATGACAAAAACGAATGTTGTTACTGAAGCTAGAAGTCAATAATATCTACAAATATACTCACTCTAACATGACGCTAGTACCCAGCAAAAAACAAAACAAAAAAACAAAAAAATAGTTATTTATGCAACAAGTGTGTAAAGTGAACCTTTTTTCACGAATGTGAATTTTGACGCACGAGCCGAAGGCGAGTGCGACAATCACATGAGTGAAAAAAGGTGCTTTACGCATGTATTGCATACACATTTTTTTCTACTACCAATCAAATATGTACAAAAAATTAAATTTAGACAAATTCTTCACGCACTCGTGCGTAAAGTATTTCCACTTTACGCACTAGTGCGTGAAGTAATTTACTAGAAAAATAGTAATTTTACAGGTCGACATCTGTCATTGACATTACTTTACGCACTAGTGTGTAAAGTGAACTACTTCACGCACTAGTGCGTGAAGAGAAATTTTTCGTCTTCTGAATAGTGCGTAAAGTGAGTACTTTACGCACGGTAGTGGAAAATAGTTATTTATGCAACAAGTGTGTGAAGTGAACCTTTTAAGGCGAGTGCGACAAAATTCACATTCGTGAAAAAAGGTGCTTTACGCACGTATTGCATACAAAATTTTCAAAATCAAATTGACTGGAGA